GTGTGTGTGTGTGTATATATATATATATATATATATATATATATATATATTAGGTTGTCAAGACATTAATGCTGCATTTTGGAACACTTTCATTAACTACCCCTCAAAATATGTACATCATGTATAATAGTTTAAACAAACTGCCAAAACATCACGTTAGTGTAGCCTATATAATGTGTAATGTTTAGTATGCTCTAATCCCTTATAGTGATGGCACACAACAAGACACATATTCAGCATGTAATGCTGTTTGAATACAAGAAGGGAAACAATGCCTCTGTAGCCACAAAGAATATCAAAAAAGTTTATGGAAATGTTTTGCACGTTCGTAAGATGGTTCAGCAAATTTGGTTCAGGTGACTTTAGCCTTAAAAACTGTGATGGCAGGGGCCGACATGTTGGAATTGACATTGATGCTCCGAAGACGCTTGATGAGTCAAACCCAAGGCAACACACTCATGAAATGGCCCTGAAATTGCATGTCTCTCATGAAACAATACATAAACATCTAAGGAATACAGGAAACTCCATAAATAAGGTTCTTGGGTGCCTCACGAACTCTCCGATGATCATCTTTTCCTAAGTGTGAACATTGCTTGGTTTCTTCTGCTGCGTAATGTGCGTGAACCATTTTTGGATAGAATTGTCACTGGTGATGAAAAATGAATTCTCTATGCAAATATTAAATGCCAAAAACAATGGCTCAGTCCTAGACAAAAACCACTTCCGACCCCAAAACCTGGACTCCATCCACAGAAAGTGATGCTTTGCATTTGTTGGGACATCAAAGGAGTAATTAATTTCGAATTCCTCAATCCACAGCGAACTGTTAATGTAGAGATTTATAGTCAGCAACTGGAAGGTTTAAGTCAAGCCTTTCATCAGAAATGCCCTTCACTCGTCAATCGGAAAGGTGTTCTTCTTCTCCATGATAATGCACGTCCACATTTGTGACACATTTGACGCAACACAAGATTATGGAGTTGGGTTGGGTTGGGAAGTTCTCCCCCACCCACCATATTGTCCAGATATGGCACCATCAGATTACCATCTTTTTCGTTCACTCCAACACCATCATTTTGGAAAACGTATGCAAATATGGAAGGTGTTAAAGGGGACATCGACATGTTTTTTGCTTCCAAGCCACGTGATTTCTTTAATCAGGACATTAACAACCTGATTGTAAGATGGAAAAGCATCATCGATAAGAATGGAGACTATTTCATTTAATAAATTATTTGTTTTGATAAATAAATTGTTCGGGTTTGTTTCATCTAAAAAAAGCGAGATTAATTTCTTGACTTCCTAATATATATAATGTAACTGTGTAAGCAAATTAAATTTCAATCACATCAAAGCAGTGTACTCACTGATATGAGGCAGGCATTATTAGGAGAAACCTACTTTATTCGTAACAAAATCTTTGTAAAAGAACATAAAATTGACACTTGGATGCACCTGCCTATGTAAATATATAGATACACAATTATGTGGTTCCATTCATTAATGGCCAGTCTGTGCATTTTATGGAAGAATGCTCTGTGCTGTTTTTGAAAATAAAAAATATAAGTAACGACTAAGATAAATGAACATGTTAATCAACGAATAAAGGAATGGAAGTGTGAATTTAATTTCATTGCAAATTGTAAGTGGTTTATGAAGTTGTAAAGTACTAACATACACAATAGAACCAAACTGTATATTTTGAAATTTTGCTACTTCTGTGAAGTAGTTACAAAACTAGGTATTCTTATTACTGTCACACATGCAACATTATTGTAAAGTTTATTAACATAAAATATGCATTATATTGTTGAAACATAACAGAACTAACTCTGTAAATAATCACTTATTTTGTGGTCAAAACAAAACTTAATATAAAAATGTACTATAGAGGAGTACTTTCAGCAAAATGTTTTGTAAAATTGTATTTTCTTTCCAGTTAATTTATGAATCTTATTGTACATTAAGTCATTGTCTTCTGCAATACAGTACGCTCTGCTGGGTTATATTTTTATAGAAAAAATTCTGTCAGTATTTTTTGTTCAAATATCACATTATACTTTCCAAAATAAAAAACAGTCAGTAAAGTAACTATACAAGGTACAAGATAATACCAAACTTAACAGTTAGTATTTCAGAGCACTTTTTCATAACGTACTATGGATTAAGTTTAGTTTCAACATTCAAATGTTAAAATAAATGTGCATAAGTTAGTATTAGATATAAGTGGTAATCGCATTACAGTGGTAACAGTTCTGTTATATTAATACACTGCATGATATATAATATACTAAGTAAACCATAAAATTGATTGATTTGAAATATACTTTCTTATAAAATGTTTTTATTGACATGTGACATCATATTTACCAAGTCAGGTAAACTTTAAAATGAATTGCTTACTTTTTTCATTTCATTCAATCTATCCTAATAATAAATGGTATACAACTTACACAGCTAGTACATGAAATGTGTAAGGAAACATCTTTAAAAAGTTTTTATACAACTATCGCTTACAGAGGGAGTCGTCTATCAAGCCCGTCAAAAGTTTTTAATTTTTGATAAGTGATTACATTCTGAGATGGAAATAGTTGAAAAAACTTTCATTAATAGTTCAAGAGATTAATGAATTTGTTTTTAAAGTGTGTGATATTAAATTTGAAACATAGACTTAAATTATTTACAATTTTTCTGTCAGTTTTTAAATGCTAAATGTTAGTTCTTGAAAATCCTATTTTTGTAAGAAATAGCTTGTGAACAAGCTAAAAACTGTGGAAAGTATATATCTTAGAACTTCTATCAGTGAACATAGGGTAAAAAGTACTGAAGTCAACATTATATATATATATATATATAATGTGCTTGATCATAGCTTGTGTGTTAATTAAATTGTTAGTGTGTGAGAATGCTTTTTTGTTGCAAGCATAACAGTTTTAGGAAAATATGTTCCACAATGTTTAATATTTATTGATCAAACAATTTTGTAAATAACAGTTTTCTTGTGATCATAAACTTTTTGTTATAGTCGTCTTTCCACTTTAGAATTATTTAAAAGCATTACATATAATATCTAAAAGGAAAATGTTGATTGTTATCTCAGAATTTTAAACATGATAACTTATGCTGAAATAACGTATTCATTGTTTTCTTACCTATCAATTCTGTTTCCAAGGGATCATGGTATTATCAGAACATTGGATGTGCCCATCTATATTACTCGTGTCAGGGACACCAACGTCTACTGTTTAGATAGAGAGTGCCGTCCTCGTGTACTTGGTATTGATCCAACAGAGTATAGGTTTAAACTTGCACTGGTTAATAGGAAGTATGATGAGGTAATATTTTTTTTGTTGTTGTTTATTTAAATTTTGAGTTAGTATTGAAACATTTAATGCAAGTTCAAATTAATTTCGTTGGACAGAAATTGAGAAGATAGCTAACAGATCATAAGCTTTTCAAGTGAAATTCTTCATTTAAACTGAATCACTTCTATATGCTCTGGTTTTTACTGAACATAGAAAAGGATGTCAAAGTGAGGCCATATCATGAAAATCTAAAGTTAAAAATACAGTAAAATTACTTTAACAGAATTTTTTTTTTGTGTGCAAACTAGTGTTGACAAGTCTGCTTTTAATAAGCGAAATTGAGCTTGTTCTTCTTAAAAGTTGCTTTAATTTTTTGAAAACTGTGGGTTGTGATCTTTTGGGCTTGTTTTATTCTGAAGTCATTTGTTTGGGCTTTTTTGAAGTAGTTGACTTCAACGTGTAATATAATGTTTGTAGGAGTGGTTTCGGTGATTCAGTAAATAGCCTACATTTAGAATCACCCTATTCCCAGTCCTGTTCAACTGAAAACCATACCCACAGTCATGAACTTTCTGGCTCACATATTCTATATTCCAATTTAGTTGTGCAAATTACCATTTTGAGGGTAAGCCATAAAAGAGCAGTTTTGAAAGTTTGTTTTTGGTTTATTTTAAAAGGCAGTGTTACTTGTTTTGAACAGCAGTGCCATTTATTGTTCTTGCAAGACTTGGCAACACTGATGAAAACATGTTCTTTATATATTCACTTTCTATCTTTTATGTTATTAGTGATAATATTATTATATCGGTGCTGTAGTCATTTTAATCATTGAGCAAGAACTTATAGTTCTGATCAAACTGAGCTTTATTGTAATGTTTTTCAAATAATGTAATTAGTAATGTATTTAGAAACTTACATATAGTCCAACAATTTTCATAAAATTCAAATTGTGATACTGGACAAGGATAGTAATGATAGATGAGGATTATGAATGTTTAAAGACATTTTTTTAACCCTAAATAGTTTAAGAACATTTGTATAAGATTGAATAGAGTTGTTTAAACATTTGTTTAACAACAAGTAAAAAATTGGAATGGTCTATTCTTGTATTGGGGGTGTGTCTGTGAGCCCCCAATGAAAGAATAGACCATTCCAAGCTTTTACTTGTTGTTAAACAAATGTTTAAACAACTCTATTCAACTATGTACCAGCTGCCCAGTGTTGGCTAACAATACGAAGAATTAAATTATGGTGAAATGCTGCAAGTTCTTCAAATACCTATAGAATGATAGGTTTATTTTTTGTGAGTGTAAAATACTTAGATATACCATTTTGATTTGTATAAGAACTGAAAAGGGTTGGTATAACATTAACTTGTGATCAGATTGAAGCTCTGGTCACTTGAGTAACAATTGTATCAGTAGAGAATTTTTTTTTACACTTATTAATAGCAACTAGGAATGTGCAGTAGAATAGAATAAATAGAAATTTATATGCAGTATTTCTCTTCCCACCCAACTATCATTGAGTGAACTGTCACTCAAAGCCTTTGTTTTTACTAGACATACCTTGCACCTTTTTTCTTTTTTTTAGCTTTTAAAAATGGTTGAATTTAAATTTTTATTGGATTGGGCTAATGTGGTTAGGAGTTAGTAATTTTATAGTATATCTTTCCATTTATTTAAAGCATATAAAAAGCATTGAAAAACAAGTTACTCAAAAGCTTTCCTTTACATAAACTTTCAAACTTCAAATGCTCACACATATGTTGGTAATCGTTGTTTTATAGGTTCTCCACATGGTGAGAAATGCAAAACTGGTTGGTCAATCAATTATTGCTTATCTCCAGAAGAAGGGCTATCCAGAAGTTGCCTTGCATTTTGTTAAAGATGAAAAAACTCGATTTGCCCTGGCATTGGAATGTGGAAACATTGAGGTATACAATTTATTTTTACTTAGACTATTTTTTTGTAAAATTACCTGTACTGAATGAAACTTAATTTACATAAGATAGAGTATCATTTTGTATTAGAATATTTAAATTGCTATAAACATAAGTGTGTATGATAAATCTTAAGTCATTGAAGTGTGATGTATATTTCTTTTAATTGAAGAAATTGTTATTTGTATAATATCAAGTATACATCTTTCAGGAATAACCACAAGCTAATTAAGTTTTTCTTTGTTTTCGGTTTGAAAAACAACAGTACTTTTACAAATGTAAATGGATTGGAAATATTTTTTGTGTTATTATTATTTGTTTTATTTTTTTACTTTTATAAAATCAGAACTCGTAATATTTGGTTGAAAAGTATAATTAGAAAAAGATTTAAAAGTTCATCTAGTGATTGATTTTAAAACATTATCCAACAGAAAGTTTTATCAGACTTTTTAAGCTCATGATATTATTGTTTAGGATTTTAAAAACTTTATTCTGATGTCAGGAATTATGAGTGCAGTATTTTCTTTATTATAATCCACTGCCTATGAGAGTATCAATGGTGTCATACATTATTGCATCAAGGCCCACTATCATTGAAGTCCCAAACTTATAAGGTACAAACCAGTTATAAACTTGAAGATATTTACATTGTCAATGATAATAAAGGTTTTCTTTTATTATAAGGTGGCTTTAGAAGCTGCCCGAACACTGGATGACAAAGCCTGCTGGGAAAAACTTGGGGAAGCTGCATTGTTCCAGGGAAATCATCAGGTAAAAACTTGAGCTATTCAAACATAAAAAACAAATTGTATATGGCCTTTATATATAACTGGACGATATAGGAAAGCTTCCAGTACTCTATCTTGTGTTCACCTTGAGTTTTCGCAACATTGTAAAAAACGTAAACAAAATGTCAATTCAGATACCGTACGTGTCAAGATGTTATTGATTTATTTATTTAACACAGTGTTAAATGCGCTGATTTATAAATATAGATACTCTATATTAGAAAAGAGAAATAATCAGAGTTAGGTGCTTTATGCACCACTATGACACAGTTCATTATTTCTTTTCTATATGTAATCTGCCAAGTTTAAGAACAACTGGAGCTACTTTTTTAAATTTGTTTGCATATTCTTCATATCAACATTTTGTGAATATACAATTTTTGTAAATTATATGTAAAATATGTTGGCCTTTATTAGATATATCACACTAGTTTTTTCAAAAATGTACATTGCATCCCTAAATCATTTTTCTTGCAAGCTAGCATTGTCTTTACTTCTCCTCTCTCTCTTAACACTATGAACACGTGATTGATTTAAATAAAATGTGTCACTGTGCTAGATATTACAAGGATTAGTGAATGATATCCAGAAAAGATAATGATTTATATCGTAGCTTCATTCAAGTTAAGCAACTGTTTAAGAACAGACTGTATAACAATAGATGAGTTTTAGGACCATTTTGTAACAAATCTTTTGTTAACTTTATACAGATTTTTCTTCTGGGTTTGTTTACAGAATATATTGATATATTTATATAGGCAAAACCTAGTTATAAAATTAGGATCTACCGTATTGGCCTGATTATAAGATGTTTTTTGATTAATTAACCCTTTGACTATGATCTACGTACATTGTAAGTAGGTATGGGACTCTCGTGAAAGTTCTTTATAAGAATGAAACGAGTTAATGAAATAGTTTTAAATTTGACTTGAACGTTCCTAAGATTATGTAGTTTTAGAAAAAATAAAATATTTAATTTTCATTTTTTCTACTATTTATAAGAAAACATTCATTATTTAATGTAGTTATTTGCACTCAGACTCTGAATAGTTCACATGCAATGTGATTTTTATTTTGAGTATAAAAAATAATATTTCTTATCTCATAGTTTTCACATTTCATTTGCATAATCTCTAGAACCTAAATGAATATCAAACGTTTTTTTAAGGTAAATGTTTATATATTTTGTTTTCCATTTTCTCTATTGTATCATCGACGTACAGTGCAATGAAATATTTAAAATTAAGAAATGAAATTACGTACATACCTTTTAAATTTTTGTAGAATAATTTTCAAACTTCTTTTTGTCATATGCACAATTTCACATCTATCTTTTCACTTGTAGTTTATTTTTAATTTTCCTTTTCAATTTTTCACAATGGCAGAATGTCTTAGCCCATGTAAAATATATATCACTAAACCTAATGTAAATAGATAGATAGTATTTATATTTCTATATCTTATTTATAAAAGTTCTTTACTTCTTGGGCCTGGCATGACTTGGTGACTAGATTGCTCATCTCACAATTTTTGGGTTGTGGAATTGAAGCATGTTTACCTTTTCAGCTGTGGGAGTATTATAATGTGATGACTAATCCCACTATTCATTCGTAAAGAATATCCTAATAGTTAGTAGTGGGTGGTGTTGACTAGCTGCCATCCCTCTGGTATATCACAAGTTAGTGGTGGCTAGTGTAGCTAGCTCATAAGTAACTCTTTGCAAAACTTGCACAAAGAAATAAATCTTTACTTCTTTTACAAATTATGAAAAACTGTTTAAAAAAAAGACATAATCTGGCAGTTTTTCTTCTGAGGGTTTTTGAATACCCCCTGTGGCTGTTTTGACAACATCTGTTAGATTAAAAGGAGGAGTAAGTATTTTTGCCCTCCTCTTGTCTCTTAATTTTCCAGGGTCCCTTACCTCTTTTTTTTTTTGTTTCACTGGATAATACTCTCTGGCAAGTGTTGCCCATACAGGTGTGCTTTTATCAATTAATTTCTGCACCAGCAACCAATTTAACTATATTTACTACCGGTTGCAACAGGCTCTGTAGAAATGAGACGTTCCATAAGACCATTTAAGAGCTCACCAGATGGTAGTACCATATTATATTGGATCACCACTTATGGACTATCATGAGTAAAGCTAAAGGGGATCCTGCTCTTCCCACCAATCATTGAATAAATTGATGTTACTTTGCTTTTGAGAAGTTAGAGAACTTGGTTCACCTACTGCACTGTTTCCAGAGCACTGTTCCTCAGGACTCCCCAACACACAGTAACCCCCAGTTTCTAATAGAGGAGCTAAGGAGTCCTTACCACACTCAGTTTTCAGTCACTGGGGTGGTGGACAGGGGCAAAGTTGGCGGCCTTCCTACCTAGGTCCCTGGATGTTTTTTCCAGATGTTGGTAGGAGTGGCACCAGCCTACATGGGAGCCTACTTATAATAATGGTTCAGATTTGATGCTAAGCTATCCGGTTGTGGTGTGCATGGCCCTTATTTTTGATCATTATCGGTTTAGTATATTGTTCATGGAAGGAGGTCCACTATCTCCTCGTAATTACGAATGGGAGTGGTCACATCTTGGGTCCTTGGTTGAGTACAGTGTTCCATGTTCTCTCCATAATTCCAGGCAGAGGCACTCGGTTGGAGAGTGGGGATGAATGTTTATACTTCCTAACTGGATGAGTTCTGTTCCTTTGGTAGAGTAAGTCACACACAATCCCATCATTCCGAACCTGGGGTGTTGCCTTTTGGACTTCTTTCGGTGGTGGAGAAAGTTTGTTTGTGTCATTGCTGCTTACTTTCTCCTCGTGATTCTTGTGGTTCAGAATGCATCACTCTTTAGCTACATGTTGGGATCCAATCAACAGTATATCTGTATATAATGTTGCAGTCCAATTGCCCTAGCCATCAATGTGGGATATTGGAATCAAGACTCTGAGTTGTGGAACCTTGGCTATCTGGTTGGGGCTGGCCTATAATGATCATTACTCGTGTACTGTTCCACCCTTGTTATAGGAACTAAGTTCCAGATGAATAGCATACGTGTTCTGGATGTGGTGCAGTTCCCCCAGTTGGGTACCACTCTTATCTTGGTACACCCTGATCTCTGCAAATGCTTTCAGTATGGATAATGCCCTCACCAGCCCTTCCACCTTTTCAATGTGGGATTCTAGCTATAAGTGTCAGTGGAGGTATGTATGTTCTGGAAGTTAACATTTTCCAAAATTTAAAGTGTATTTCCAATAATACTTATCTCTGCTGACACTCTCCCACCTTTCCTCCCCACTAAGAGCCGATATTAGAGAAAGGAATAGTGTCAGTGTCGAAAAAGTGATAAAATTATCTGAATGAGGTGCTTATACACAAGATAGAGGGCACATTGACATAGGTGGAGAGTATATCGAGAAGGGCAGTTGAGTGGGGTGTAAAAGACTGGAGCAAGTGAGAAAACAAAATCAGACCAATGCTTAGATAGGAAAATTGAAACCCTGTAGTTCGAGGAATAGCTATTAGTGTCAGTGGAGGTAAGTATTATTGGAAATACGTTTTCAATTTAGGAAAATGTTAACTATTGGTTTTTAACATCATCAACTTATAAATTAGTTTTTAAACTACTTTAACTATAATTATATAAGCAACAAATATTTAGAAAGACCATACATTTGCAACTATGGTTTGTATATTGGCAAATTCTATTTGTGCAAGCACGAAGTTGGAATATTTCTATCCCCAAATGAAAATTATAGTTGGGAGGGGGATGAACAAAGTTGTTAATACTTAATAATTTATTTTATTATCTAGCTGAAACAAGTGTTTATAAAAATTTATCAAAACAAAAATTATGAATCTGTCATTTCAGTTATAGTGGCTTAAGGGGGGAGATTAGACAAAATATCTTAATATTTAATGTTGTCATATGTTCTTGTAAAAAAGCAAAAATAAAGAATCCAAGAAACTAATGCCACACTTGTTACTAGTTGGTAATTTTAAGTATTGTGTAAAATTATTATTTTAGTATAGTAAACTTAGCTTTTTTTTCTATAAAAATTCTCATTGCAAGAGTAAATTATGAAAGAGCTGGGAGATATGTTTAGATTTCTAATAGAAATTTGTCCTTTGCTGATATCTTTATTTTGCAAGGAGAGTTAATTGATGATTATTCTACTCCATCAGAGACTTAGTGAGATTTATGGAGCAAGTGAATATTAATAAGTTCCAATTATTATGTAAGTACAACAAATAATCCTTCAGCAACATTATGAATAATATGAAGATAACATTGAACATTTTACCAAATATATTTTATACCTCAACAACAAAAGTTATTGATGATATCTAGCTCTCTGTCATTAAAAATGTAATTTCTATTCTTTTTTGTTTTTGAAAAAACAAAGGCATAATTAATGAAATGTTTTTTTTAAATTATAACAGTACAAACAGCAGCTTTTCAGTTAGCTCAGCAATTAGTTTTAAACATTACACAACATGAGGTGTTACAAAATAATGAAGCATGCATAAATATTTCAGATGGTCCATTGTCGTATCATACTTGCCCTTACGCCAGGATGTACTGTCTTTTATGTATGGTCATCATCAGTCTAGTTGTGTTAATGAAGCAATTTAAAATACAATCTTGTTGTAAAAATTGTATCAATCTACATGCTTTTAGTACTTTATATAAACATTAAGTAATTCATAAAATAGAAGAACACGATTTAAGTGTTGAATTGTTTTGAACCAAATGAACAGCAAATTTTCTGTTAGAGTATATTTCAGAAACACAGTTCACTACTGGAAAGGAGTTAATAAATCAGCTAGAGTATATTTCAGAAACACAGTTTACTGCTGGAAAGGAGTTAATAAATCAGTTAGAGTATATTTCAGAAACACAGTTTACTGCTGGAAAGGAGTTAATAAATCAGCTAGAGTATATTTCAGAAACACAGTTTACTGCTGGAAAGGAGTTAATAAATCAGTTTCATTTTTTGATATGTACCTTTATTTACAAGTTGTGGAACATGATTATCTTGAAATTCAAAAGTTGTCATAGTCTGATTGAATCAGTTTCATTGAAAAGGTCACATTTTGTTTGGATGGATGGATTTAATATGAAATATGGCCCCTCCTGCTGTGTCTGTGCCTCATTATTTCTTTTTTTTAAGTTGTGTAATATTGATACTGTTTTTGCTAATCATTACAACAAGTTTCATAAACAAATGTTGCTGTGCCATCGCCTTGTTTCATGTTCCTGAAATTTTAGTTCTGGCTGTTTGTATGCACCAGGTGGTTGAGATGGCCTACCAAAGAACCAAGAATTTTGACAAGCTTTCATTCCTCTACTTGATAACTGGGAACCTAGAAAAACTTCGCAAAATGATGAAAATTGCTGAAATTCGCAAAGACACCAGTGGTCAGTTCCAAAATGCACTATTTCTAGGAGATGTTGCAGAGAGAGTGAAGATTCTGAAGGTAAGTAACAGATAGAGATCTTAGAAATTCTTTTATTAAAATAAGAAGAAAAGATATATTTAAGGAGCTCATATGTATTAATAATAATGTGTGTTCATTTGGATGACTTGATTTTATCCTCATTAAAACAAATTATATCATTTTTTTTTACAATTAGAAAAATACACTATATTTATTTGCTTCCGAGATATTGAAAGCTTCTGTAATAATATTACTGAATGTCTTTTTTTGTTACTTGCAAGAGTCTTTCCTTTCTCTTATCATTCCAAAACGTGTGAAAGAATATTTTAATAGTGAAGATACATTTAACATGATCAGTCCAACTTTTAAAGTGAACTTAATATCTGTTTTAGTGGGTAAAATTTTAGTGTTGTTTTTATAATGTCCACACAATATTTAAAGTATACTATAGAAAAATACTTCTTATTTTTGCTCTTTTTTTTTCAGTGCACATAGTTATTACTACAATATGGTAGGCTTATAAAGAACTAGTGATTTACCTGTGGTCTCACTGTATCATTATTATTTTTAATTGCAATAATTCATGTATAATAAAATATATGTACGTATATAAGTGAAAAATAAATGTGGGGAGACACTGTCTATTAGTTTTAACCTCCATCTGCCACTCTCACACAAAGAAATTCATAAAAAATATAATAAAATCATCAAAAGAAATACAAGTTAATAGAGTGGGATGTGGGTGCTCAAATCCGCAACGTCCCACACCTATATCGCCCTTTACTGGTTACAGCCTGCAACGTCCCACACCTATATCACCCTTCACTGGCTACAACATCCCATACCTATATCGCCCTTCACCGGTTACAGCCCGCAACGTCCCACACCTATATCACCCTTCACTTCCTGCAGACAGTAAAAGAGAAGAACATGAAAAAGAAGAAGAAAAAAATTAAATGAGGTACTACCACTTGGGGGATAAGTCAGAAAAACGTACCTCATGAGGTTGGCATTCCAGCCCTCATGATAGTAGTAAAGCACTCAGTAGATAAATTATACTAGTATAGAGTTATAAAAGCCCAACCAAGTTATCTAAACTAACTAGTATAACTCCCAACCACCCATTAAGTTCACTGTAACTACCAATTTTCAGACTTTACAGGAGCCTTAATATGAGATATGGTATTCATCCGCATACAAATAGTGCCAAGCTGTTTAAACGGCCTTCTTAAAAACTAAAAATACTTGTCAGAAACTTCTTAATTTTTATGTCTTTATATTTATTTAATACATTTTTATATTTATCACAAAATATCTTATTAATTTTATTTAGAGTTTCTTTATTAAATCCATTGAAAATTAATTTTTGCATCAATATTTCATTTTGAAATATTTTAATTTGTTAGAAATTTTACAAAATCTGAGTAATTAAAAGAGGGTAAGCTGTATATTGGAAAAGAAAAATATTTTCTTTCATCAGATATACTCAGATTAATATCAGTATCAATAGTTTTAATTTCTAGATCTAAATAGTGTGCCTTTACATCCAAAATTGAAGTAAAAGAGAAAAAAAAACAGAGGTTAAGACTGATAGATTGTGTATCCCCATCACAATGTGGGTCGTACTTCCGCAGTCACCCTCAGAACCCAGAGCATATTTTGTGTTCCACATTATAGCCTGTACCTTTGGGATCCTTTTAATTTATGTATCATTCTTAATTTAGTTTTGTTTTGTTGTTGAGTTTGTTTTATTAAGTTAAATGTCACCACAGGTTTGGATTTGCTGTTTATAACACAGTCCTTCTTTTTGATTTTATTTTGCTTGACTGTTTAAGTATTAATTTTCTATACATACACACACACACACATATATATATATATATATATATTTGATATTTATTTTTAATTTTACTTTATAAAATTAAACTACGTGAATAACAAAACCTTCATAGAGAAAATACATTTCTTGCATTTAATTAAGCCTATTCTCTGAAACCATAGAGTATAGGTCTCTTAAAAGTAAGTCCAGATTCTGCTAGCTTTAAAACTTGCATTGATTTATACAGAATTAATGCCATTCTCAGCACATGATTCAATGCAAATTTTATTTAAAATTAACATAGAAAACTTTGATAGATTCCTGAATGCTTCTTTAAGTTTACAGAGTCACATGTAAGAGAGCAAGGTATCCAATAAATCACAGTGTTTCACAAATTTTATTAAGCTATAAAATTAAATTATAACCATACGTTTGCTTAGACAAATTCAACGATAATGAATATAATTTTCAAAGCTCATTCACACTTGTGATTAAAAAAAGATTCACCAGCACCTTTCAAGAATTTCAAAGATAAATGTATGCCTCATATGCTGCATAAAACATACAATATTGAGATTAATTGCATGAGATACATTTGTGATTGTTATAGAAACTAGACCACATCTATTTATTACATGTAGCAAACTTTGTTTAATTTTTGCCGGAATTCCGTTTTAACATTTTTATTCCACTTATATTCAACATTTGAGTTACTTTAAAATATTTGAACACTAAAGTTTAACAACAAATTAAAATTGTAAGAGCTTATTTGAGTATGTGAACATTTCACAGCAGTGTTTTTTTACGATAGTTATACAACATTCTCTAATGCTCGGGTCGAGACTTTTGGGTATTTTGTAAGTTTTTTTTTTGTTCATTATTAACCTTTTTTTTTGAAGGGAGTGTATAGAGAACTCTGAGAAATAAGTTATGGTTTTCCCAAAATTATTATTTTGATTCCAAATATTGTTAAAAACTTTTTGTATGGAAGTAATTTTCTGTTCTGAGTGACGAAAGAGGTGTTCATCCATCAAACACAACCGAATATTCATATAGAACTAATAATAATGTATTAAAAGTTAAATAAATCCTGATAGTATAGTCGAATATTTGAACAGTTAGTTCCAGAACCATCAGGATTGATGATTCTCAGTTATTGTAATGATACCTACTCTTCTAGGTCTGGCTGAGATGATAAATTATAAACCTGAAGTTCTGCAGACACAACTGTAATAAGGTTGCTTCATCAAAGACAATGTAGTTTATCAATAACAGTTTCATTACTGAGAGAAATTTGACTTTAACTTTTTTTAAGTTTACTTTATCTCTCATTATAAGAAGTACATTAAATCCAAGTTTTTGGTGTGTTTTTTGGAACAGCACAGATTTTTTTTCTTTTATTTTCTTTTTGAAAATTGCTTTCGTGTTACTTATTTATAATAGACCTTGGAACTTAGAATACGTACTGGTGTTTAGATCATCTAAACTCTGAGGTGATTTTAAATGAGTGTGTGAATTCAAACCACAGTTTATTAGTTTAAAAGGGATTTATCACTTACACAAGTGTGCATGAATTTTTTCACCTTTATATTATCTAACCTAACTATTGTTGCAAAGTACATACATTTATTCAACAAATTTAAAGTGATTATAAAGATCAATTTTGGTCAACAGATGTTATCATGGGTAACAAATAGTGTATTAATTTGGCTGTTAAAGAAGCTGGTTTATAAATATGATATGGATGTTTTTTATATGTTTTATCACAGGTTGACAACTTAATTTAAAAACTGAATCATATTTATTTATCTCAATAAATCTAATAGTCGTAATCAGTAGATATGTTTTAGTCCAGATTTTTCTTTAATGTGACATGATTTAAATATTTGTGTTAGAATTGTGGCCAGTTGTCTCTTGCCTATCTCTGTGCTGTCACTCATGGAATGCACGAAGAAGCAAACAACTTGAAAGACTCATTTAAGTCAGAAAATGTGAAGCTTCCAGAGCCTGATCCAGATGCTGTTCTCCTTCAGCCACCACCTCCAATCACACAGTGTGAAGAAAACTGGCCCTTGTTAAGCATTTCAAAGGGATTCTTCGAAGGTGTGATGGGTGCTCGCAAAACAGCAATGGTTCCTGAACTTGTGGATGAAGAAATGACAGAGGGTTAGTAGAATATTTTTTTCGTAGAAATACTCCTTACATATAATGTTTTAAGTAGTTATAGCTTTTACAATTCTGTAAATATTTGTCACGTGGTAAGATTAGAAAGAAATGAAAATATGATTGATCACTAACAAAAATGTATTTTTTATCCTTTATAGTTTACATTATGAAAAGGTTATTGTGATTAGACCTGAATTAAACTTCTACAAATTAAGAGTGAAAAGTTTTATATAAATTCAATGAGGGAATTTGTGTTCAATTGAGCTTTGTCATGTTGTTTTTTTAAAAGGTTTTTTTTAACAAGTGAATATTTACGTAAAAATAAATATTTTTTATAGTTAGATGTTTGTGCTATGAAATATTTTTATAATATTATGGTCCAATTATCTAAATAAAATTGTATTGATTACATTTAGGCTGGGGTGCTGATGCTGAATTAATGTTAGATGAAGAAGGGTTTGGGGAAGGAAAAGTTGGTTTTGAAGATGAAGAGGAAAAAGAAGAAGCAGGTGGAGGTTGGGATGTTGAAGATGAAGATCTTGAGCTTCCACCAGAACTTGAAGGTGTACCAGCAGCAATGGAAGGTGGGGAAGGATACTTTGTTCCACCAACACGTGGACTTTCACAAGCCCAAGTCTGGGCCAATAACTCTAAACTTGTTGTAGATCACGTACTTGCAGGATCTTTTGAAACAGCTTTCCGACTTTTACATGACCAGGTAGGTGCTGTGAACTTTGAACCATTAAAGGGTCTTTTTATGACTACCTTCACTCGAGCTCGAACCTCATTTCTAGCCTTGCCTTATCTTCCAACTATGTATGCTCATCCACACAGAAACTGGAAAGAAGCTGGAGCAAAGGGAGGCTTGCCTGCTATTGGTTGTAAATTAAATAATTTAATTCAGCGCTTACAGATGTGTTACCAACTGACTACGTCAGGCAAATTTCAGGAGGCCATTGAACGTTTCCGATCCTTGCTACTCAATATACTACTACTGGTGGTTGAGACAAAACAAGATATTGCTGAAGCTCAGCAAATAATGGAAATTTGTAGAGAATATGTTTTGGGTCTTTCACTTGAGCTTGAACGGAAGGGATTACCTAAAGACACTTTAGATCAACAGAAGAGGTTGTGTGAGATGGCAGCATATTTCACTCACTGTAATCTGCAGCCAGTCCACCTGATTCTCACTCTCCGAACAGCCCTCAATCTTTTTTTCAAGTTGAAAAACTTTAAGACTGCAGGATCCTTTGCCCGCCGTCTTCTTGAGTTGGGACCAAGGCCAGAAGTTGCTGCCCAGACTAGGAAAATACTACAGGCATGTGACAAAAACCCTGTAGATCAGCACCAACTTCAGTATGATGAACACAATCCTTTTTCAGTTTGTGGTCAGAGTTATCTGCCAATCTACAGAGGAAAACCAGAAGTTAAATGTCCACTTTGCCAAACCAGCTATATTCCAGAGTATAAGGGAATTGTATGTAAAGTTTGTTGTGTAGCAGAGGTTGGGAAAGATTCCATTGGATTGCGTATTAGTCCTTTACAGATGCGTTAATCATTTTTTCATGTTTAAGAATAATGTGTTAAGGTATAGTATTCATTGGGTCAAAAATATATCACCGTATTAGTGAATGAAGAGCAGTGTAAACATTACGTAGCAGTTTTCTTAATAACTTTATTTGCATAGTAGCACCCACACAAATGTTACTCATATTTGATGATGAAACAGTTTCTTTTTTATGCCTAATTATTAGGTAGAAATTTGTCAAGAATTAATTAGTTTAAGTCACCTTCTAGATCACAGTGAGTTTAAGCTCCACCATAAAAAAATTTTGTGTAACTTGATAAGTATGATTTATTAAAGCATTATTTGAATGTATTAAAAGCTTTTTTTTTGGTTATTCTTCAAATACTAAGCATAAAGTTTGTTGTTACAACAATTTAACAACAATTTCATTAATTTAACAATACAGTTGTAAGGTATGAATATGTATTGTAACATGTATTGGAAATATGCTTCACAAAATAAAAGTTAAAATATGAAAGATTTTTGTGCTACTGATCAAAAAATTTGTTTCATTGTATATTACAAAGACTGTTCATTGAATTGATTGTTACAGATGTGTATCACGTCTGTATTTACTTATTCTCAATTGTATGCTTCTGTGTAGATTTTTGGAACTCTTCCTATAATTTTGGACAAAATAACTGGAAGTTCTACATATGTTTCTTACCCCCACCAAATATAAATTGAACAGTTACGAATGGGTCCCAAAAGTGGGAGTAAAAGATTTTTGGGGGGTTTGTACATTTCACTGAACAGATTTTCATCAAAACTGGCACTGATGTTGGACATTATCATTGAAAACAATAATCTAAATTCAGATTTTTTGAATTTTTTTTATAGCTTCCATATTGAGCTCAAAGGACTCTCTGGACCAGATCCATGGATTTCTTTGAAAACTAAGCATTGGAATGTAAAAGCTCTTTCAAAATAAGTCGCTGCATCTACCTTTTTGAAATTTTGAAATTGGAGCTTCCAAAATGTGGAGTTAAGGGAATTATTTGACTCTCAAAGTTTAACTGACTGCAAGGACTTAGTGAAATATTAACAAATATGATAATTCAAAATAGTTGTTTCTCGTAAATTTCCACAAGTAATTTACTAGTTATAAAGTGAATTACTTTTCAGAGCATCCTTAAGATGAATCCAATCTTTCATGGCTTTTTACGAAAGTGTATTGTGTGATAGAAACAATAAGCGGTTACATAATGCAGTACAAACTGGACAAGATATTTACCAACTAGTGGATTCTTGTCGTGGGGGATTATGTGAGAACTACAGAGTGCAGTGCTGTGTGCACATAATATTAACAATGTGGTTCTTGTCGATGCACATTCCAATTGCTGTTGGCCTGCTCTCACATATAATACAGAAATTGATTGAGCTGTTGCACAACATTCTCTCAAATTTGCAAAAAAAATTGAATACACTTCAAAAAATTGTTGATTTCCAAGGTGTAGCGTGATGTGGAAAATGACTGAAGCAGTGACGTCGCTTTCAACTTAAAACATAACATAATGAAGAATAACCTTGGTGAATATGAGCTGAAACAGGCAGTATTAAACACAGGAATGTCTTTCATAAGATGGATTGTATGATGTATGGGTAAGCAGTGAAAGAGATGTTCTTCATTCAGCTTGTTGGAGGAATTCACCTGTTCAAATCTAGTGATGATCTGTCTTATAGGTGCAAGAATAGTGCAGTGTTATGCATATATCATCTTCATAATATGGTTTTTAGGGTTCAAACAGCACAAGAAATACAAGCTTATAAGACCACCTTCAGTACCTGTACAGAATTGTACAGTTACTACTACAATAATCAGTGACACTTGAAATGAAAAATGACTGAAGGTGGGATGATAAATGAAAGATATTCTTTTCTATGTGGTTTTTTTGCTTTGTATTTATGGGTGAGTTATGGGCAAGCTTAGGAGTGATTTTATTATGGTTATCATCATTTGAGGGATTAAATTATTACGTTCTTAAATAAACTCAAAAAGTGGACAGAATTCTTATCTTATAAATTTGGCCCATTATCTTTATTTTTTTTCAAGTCGTGACATGCTTTTTATTATCTTCACTGAATAATGTTTATTATGAAATAAGAGTTTAATAGTGTGGTGGCTCATAAAGTGAGTTAAAGGATGCCATGTCTCTTCAAAAAATTTGAACAAATAAAATATTTCATACTAGCGAAAGTACCCAGCTTCTCTCAGGATATTAGGTTGATATATTCTAGGTGTATTCTGAACCTATTGCAGTCAAAAATATTTTAAACATTTTTGTTTTTCAAAAACATAAGAAAGCCATACAGAAAGTACAGTAAATTAAGAATTATTTATTATCAAAGAACTTTATCATTGTGGTAAATATTTCACATTTATATTTGATATTGCAAATTTCTATCACATTTTATCAGAATCTATTACAATTTTTTTACCATTGCAGTGGTTCAGTTGTGACAATATTGGTTGTTTTCTCAAAGAAATCATATAGACAGACATACAGAAACACTATATAATAATAATAATATAAATAAAGAAGTGGTTCTTTATGTAACAACTTCTAATATATAAAAAAGCCAGTGCTTTTTGGTAACCATGTGTTCCAACAATGGCTTTTATATCATGTTGCATAGCAATAAAAGTATAACCTAATATTGTTGTTAAGAGTCTATGTGCTGAAAATATAAAATGAAATCTGTAAACTACAAAATTGAAAATAATATTTGTTGTGATCTGTCTGTGATTTATATCAACAATTTTTAATATAAGGAACCACTTCTTTTTTATGTGATTTTTTGCTAGTTTACCTCATTAAAAAGATGTTCACGTGCATGGATAAGATAAGTAATAATACCCAGGTGCACACTCTCAGGGACTACATAGCATGGGTGCAAAATATCAGGTTTCTGGGTTCTTTCGTCTTGGAGCTATGGTAGTCACATATTCTTTTCTATGTGGTTTTTTTGCTTGCTTACCTCACAAAAGATATGCATGCATGCATGTGGTTAAATAAAACACCCAGGTGCACACCCTCAGGGTCCATTTAGTATGTCTGCAAAATTTCAGGTTTGTAGGTTCTTTCCTCTTGGAGTTTTGGCAATCACATACAGACCTACAGACATGCCCCTTTATTATTAGAGATTTTTCACATTAATACATATATTTTCTTGCTGAATTTATTAACGATTTCGAGACTGTTTGCACAGCTAACAGAGCCAATCAAAATCTACATTTTAAAAGCAACCAATGCAAATTATTTTAAGAAAAGTTTGCAACCACAAGGAACAGGCAAGGTCATGGTGATCAAGGACTGGTACAAATTTTAAAATTATGTGATTATTCAGTATTTTTAACTATGTAAACAGTTCATGGGGAGTTTCATTAAATAGTTAAAAAAATTAATATTTACCTTAAAATGGAGGTTATTTTGGAATTTTCAGTTGAAAAAATATATATGCAGTTATGAAAAACCAAAATAATGACCTTCTTGCAGGAAAGCATGTATAGCATCCTGTGGGAAGATAGCAGGGGCGGATTGGGAACCCAAAACGGCCCCGGATAATACGCAGAAGTCGGCCCATATAACTATGTCACAAATTCGACTGTATTTTAATGAACTGTAGAGAGATAAAGATAAAGTACAAAGCTTATATGACTTTATTAAATTGAAGAGCAGATATGTAGAAATAAAATAATCAGATTTTCCACGACAATGAAATTATTAAGCAATGATTTAATAGTATGATGATGTATAACATAGTGCATTCTTACATAATATATAATATTCTTTACTGGAAAAGAAAAATGGGTTTTATTTAATTTGCATTTATTCAAGTAACGTAGGTTTTTTATTCTCAATATAAAGCAAATACCAGATAATATACAGACTAATAATACAA